CTAGCCTTAAGCTTCATGAGTTCCAACACGCATGACAACTTGTTGTGCTTCGACTTGCATCCATCATACAAGGGCATCTAACAATCTTCCATCAACTTACTAAACTTCTCAAAATCTCTGTCGTTGTCCTCTGTGTCTCCAATGTCATGCAACATTGTAGATAGACATTGAGTGTCCAAATCTATGGTCTCTCCACCTAACGGAGAAGATACGAACATGCCTTCTCGAGCTGCGGCGGTGTTCTCTACATCCTGATCCAACACTTCTTCAGTTGCGGCATCAGGCGCCTCTTGCTCTCCATGCTTGGTCCAGCATGTATATTTCTTCATGAATCCATTCGTTATCAAATGAGAATGCGCTTCTGAACTATCAAGGTTCATCTTTTCATTCTTATAGTCCCTACATGGACACAATATGTACATGCTCATCCTACTTTTTCTGTCATTCTCTGCAAATGTGACAAATTCAGTGACCCCCTCTCTATACTCTGTAGACGAACGATGAACATGGTACATCCAACTACAATCCATCTGAAATCAACAACATAGGAAGAAAAATATATGATGATCGATCGAGAATGAATGGAGAATAATGTGGGTTTTACCTTCAATTTTAGCAAAAATTCGCCCCCTGCCCTCCCAACGATTTGTGAACAGTGAACTTGTCGGGATGGAAAGCAGTTGACGGTTTAGGGGGTATTTATAGACCCAACACACCTCAAACAGGTTAGGTAAAAAAACCCGTCAAAGGTGTTGGTCATAACTTTGACGGGCTTCAATTGAGTTTCCCGTCGAAGGTATCGACCTACCTGTGATGGGCCGGAAAACAAATCCGTCACAGGTGGCGGCCCATCACCTGTGACGGCTTATAATGCCGCGGCCCGTCACAGGTGAGGGGATACCAGTGACGGGTTGGAAAACCCATCACTGTCTCACCTGTGACGGCTTTGCCTTTCAGCCCGTCACAGGTGAGGGGATACCCGTGACGGGCCGCGGCCGGATGCCTCACTGATGACGGCATCCCGTATGACCCGTCAAAGGTGATGGTCATCAGTGACCAAATCATTTGCCCGTCACAGGTATCCCGTCAGAGCTGTGAGGATCTGGCGTAGTGCCACCACATGCGTCGTTGCAACAAATCACCCACATATTACGATAACGCTTTATTAAGGAAATCCGTTTCATTTTTTTTCCACCAACAATGTTTCAGCAAGTATACTCATGATATTTCACTATATATATAGATTAAATGTTGTAGTGAAAGGTCCTTTCGCTATTTGCTGAAACATTGTTTTATATATGTTGAAAGAGCTTCAAAAACCATTGTTTCATACGTTTTAGCAAAATGTTTCATGAGGTGATTTGGTTGCGTTTCAGCTTTTTAAACGATTGAAACATTTTTTATCTACTTAGTGAAACAATTCCGATCTACTTGGTAGGCGCCTCGGGTTAATTTTGGTCCTTTTTGCTAGCTGGTTTTTTTCCAAACTGAATCTGTTGCACTTTTTTTTGTTTCTATCTGTTTTTATGTCCTTGGTTTTTCCCGATCCAAATTGATGCACCTCGCGTCTCCCCGCCGCCGCCCGGGCCGAACCTAAAAAAATACGCAGCTTGGTTTTTTTTTGCCACTGGTTTTTTCCGATCCTAACCGATCTGTTGCAACTTTTTTTACTTCTATCTGTTTTTTCCCGATCAACCGATCTGTTGCACCACGCGCCTTCCCGCCGCGGTTGTATCAATCGTGCGTTTCCTCCTCCAGTTGATTACAAAAATCGATTTCTCATTACTCGCTCATCATTTTCTACATGATTTTCCATCATTTTCTACATGATTTTCCCTTTCGATTCGGCTTTAATTCGTCGGATTTAATCTCCATGATCTTCCCGGTCTTCCGAGTTTTACGCTCTATTTTTTGGAAAAGGGAAAGAAATGATCGGTGGATCAAAAGCCCTCAATTAATTTTGGATATCGAGAAACATTCGGCCGGATTTGACGGGGAAGATCAGCTCCAGCATCGTATGGTTATGGGACTATCTTCGGGAGGTTGAAGATGGTAGGCAGCTATTCGAGATGGGCAGAAGGAGGCAGGCCGAGTAGAGGGAGGTAGCGGATTAGCGTAGGACTAAAGAGGAATGAAGGAATGAGCTTCTGGCCCAAATCTAAGAAAGAATTTTCATTAACTTTTTTAATCATAATGTATAGCGATCCTAATGTTAGGATTTTCATCAATTTTTTCAATTATAATGTATAGCGATCGTAATGTTTCAATTTATTGCCCAACTTCTAATAGTTGTTGTATCATCGAGAAAACATCTTTACCTATTGCAAGGCACGGACATTTTTTCTAGTCAAAGCTATAAATATTTAGCTTCCTCCAACGAATCCTTTCCAAGGCAATAGAGCTGGGCGCAATTTCGAAACTACGGTGTAGAACGACTCAACTACGGATCTCGATGTATGCAGACGATGCCATCATCTTCATTAATCCCACCCGAGGCAATGTAAAAGCTTTCGTGGACATTCTGGACTGCTTCGTCACCAACCTTCAGAAATCCCAAGTGGCGGCCATTAGATGTGATAGCATTGACTTGGCAGGTGTCCTTGATGGTGTTCCAGCGGTGAGGGCAAATTTCCCTCTAAAATACCTAGGGCTTCCCCTAGTACTTGGGAGGTTGTGGAAGACAGACTTGCAGCCTGTTTTCGACAAAATCTCGGGGAGGGTAGTAGGCTGGAGGGAAAAAAACATGGGGTCAGCTGGGAGAACCACACTCGTCAAATCTGTACTTTCAGCACAACCAATCTACCTCCTGGCCGCCCTGGAAATCACGAAGGAATCCTTGGAGCAGCTAGACAAACAGCGACGCCGCTTCCTCTGGGCTAGCACGGGAGATATTATTGGAGGAAAATGCAAGGTCAATTGGACAAAGACGTGCTTGCCGACCAGTCAGGGAGGCCTGGGGGTTCTAAACTTGGATAAGTTCATGAGGACCTTGCGGTTGCGATTGTTGTGGAATGAATGGAAAGACCTAACCAAGCCGTGGGTGAGACTGGAGATGCCTTGCGATGAAGTAGACAGGGACCTCTCCTCTCTCTTTTCTCTTTAAGGCACTTCAAATTTTCACCTCCTCTCCTCTCTCTCTCTCCTCACATTATTCACATCTCCTATCCACTCTATTATTTTCACCCCTACTCTCCTCTCCTCTCTTATCGTCCTCTAGGTCGGCGGTAGGCGGCCGGGCGAGCAAAGGTGGCGGCGGCTGGCTGGGCAACCTTGGCAGTCAGGCTCCACCGCCTCCCTCCAGCGTGGATCCGGCGGCAGCTCTTGGTAGTCAATATCATATTTTGCTAACCGTTGACATGGCAACTACTAAATTTAATTAACTAAAAGTATACTTTGCTCCTTTATCTTTATCTTATTTTAATTTTAATCTTAACCTACTTAAAATACCTGTACTGTAAGGTTTCTATCGTCCGTCTTCTTGTGGATGCGATCGGTTTCAGGTTCAATGTGTTTGTCGCGTCTCTACTGTCCATCAGGTTGGTTCTAGGTCCTGGTTGGTCCTCTCAGAAAAAACAGAAAACGGGTCGGTTATCAGATGGAGCAAAAATCTCTCCATTCTCGCTCTGTACTCCGGGCATCACGTGCGCTCCGACCGTCATCCGACGAGAGACAAGCCACGCAAGAACATGAATCTATTTGTTGGAAAGCAAGCAAGACAGATAAGATGATAATTCAAGGACAACTAATTTATTTCCCCAGAAAAAAAATGAGGCAAACTGGTATATGCATGATTGTGGTAGCAAGCTAGCTAGGAGAGGAGACGATTGTGGTCCGTGAGTGCGATAGATGCTGGTGCGGGTGGCAGTGGCATCCATGCATATATGGAGGACAATAATTAACATACGCACATACGAGGTTGTTCGCTCAAGGTGCGCGTGCAGTGTAGGTGGATCCTAGCTTCCTTCAATAGTTGCATGGCAATATGGCATGGCCAGCTGGGTGTGGGTGCAGAAAATTAAGGAACGACATACTATATCGATCGATCTACTCCTAGCTAGCTAGTACTTTGCAGAGTGCGTGCGTATATAGTAGGTGTACGTGTGGCTGTGGATCGCGCGATCGAGATGAGGATCCTCGCTGGAACTGGAAGGACGCCCGGGCCACCACGATGGATGCTCCCTCCGGCTGCTAAGCTGGCGGCTTCGTCGTGTCCTCCTCGACCGCTAGCTGCTTAATTATGGTATTGGTACTGGTACGTTGTGGACAATTAGCTGGCGTGCAGTCCACCGCCACGGGTGGATCAGTACGTTCTTTAGGGAGGATCGATAATACTTCTATATGGACAGGTACAGTTTCTTGCCTCCCTGTTTCTTGAGGTTTAAATTAAAATTGATCGAGCAGCACCACGAGTTAAGCAACGTACAGTATATAGCAGTTATTATACAAATTCATTTACTTAAGACTGGGAAGATTTCTTTAATTTGCTCTTTGCGTATATATATATATGTCAAAGAAAGAAAAATCTTATAACGTTGTACTGAATTGTAAGTTTATTCAATGCAATTATATATATCATGCCCCTTTTCAGGTGTAACTTTTTTTTTTGAGAACTTTTCAGGTGTTACCTTGAATTATTTTTCTTTCATGAGCTGTTGCGATTGCCACTAGTTGGTTCCCCACCAATTCCATTCTGATCACACCGCATGCAGGAGTTTCTTTTGTAATATGCATTCTGGCACGTATTTCTTTGTTCCTCCTATCCCAAGGTTTGAATACGGAGTATTTCCCTTATCCTCTTTTGCCTTTTAATTTGTGAGGTTTATAGGAACCTTGAGCCTTATAGCTAGGTTAATCATTCCAATGCGTCTTACACTTTTTGCTTCAATTATGTTTGATCCACGATCATGAAATTCAGTTTTGTTAATCAAGGTAGATTGAGATAACACTCTCTTTTTTTCTTCTTTTGGTTTTGACATAATTCTTATACAACTAGCTTTTTCTTTTTAGAACTAGGGCTTGAAGCCCCCATTTCCATTAAGAGAAATGATAAAAGGTCTCTACAGGAAGCCATTACAGCAAAAGAAAAAAAAGGATGGAACTAGATTGAGACAGAAGCTATTCAGAATAGCCTAGGGAAACCACCTCCTACCGGAAGTAACAGTTTTTAAAAGAAACAGAAGAACTGCTGACAGATTGATAAACAAATCACTACGGTAGAAAGGTACTGCTAGATCAACTTTAGTCTTTGAAGCAGGGACATCAACAACTCCTCCTTCTTCACATCTTCAGTCTTCTGGCACCTGGTCTCCAGCTGTGTCTTGAACTAAAGACCTCACTTGCCACCTGCTTTATGAGTCTGGCTCCCAGTACCAATCTTCTTCGATTTGCTTCCAACTTCTGCAAGACAACCCAGTTTTCAGTCCAATTGCAAGCCAGGAACACAGTTTCTATAGGATCATATGGCAAAACATGTTCAAAACAAGCTCTGTTTCGTGTTCTCCATAAAGCCCAGATGACAGCAGCTACTCCAACCATCACCAAATATTTCATGTGTTTGTTAAAATTTGACAACCAACTCCCAAAAAGTTGTTCTTTATTGAGAATTGGTTTCAGGTTTAGAGCACACCCAATCACATTCCATAAAAAATGAGCTAAAGGACATTCAAAAAACAGGTGTTGAAGTGATTCGGTATTGCTGCAAAATTGGCACAATTTGTCTTTTTTCTTCCAACCTCTCTTATATAAGTTATCTTTGGTGAGAATCTTGTTTTTTAGAAATAACCAAAGAAAGACTTCGATTTTGAGAGGAATCTTGAACTTCCAAACTTTTTTATGAGGGAAAGCATAATGTTGAGTTTTCAAAGCACTATATAGTGACTTGACAGTAAAGATTCCATTCTTGGTTAAATTCCACCAGATTTTATCAGGACACCCCTCAATCAAGTGAACCTCCCCACAAGAGTTTTTTAAAGTGTTCCAGTCCATTTTGTCACCATGTAGAGTTCTTCTAAATTTGAAAATCCCCCAGCCCTCTTTTTTGACCTTAGCAAGAGAAACTTACTTTGTAAAAGTTATGTCATACAGAGAAGGGAATTGAATGTTTAATGGTCTACCACCAATCCAATTGTCTTCCCAAAAGCATGTATTTTCCCCATCACCAACTTTCTTCGAACAGAACTTGTAGAAGATGTTTTTAACTTCCATGAGCCCTTGCCAGAAGTGTGAATCACCAGCTTTGACAGAGATACCAGCAAGATTTTTGTTTTTGAGATACTTATCTCTTAGTATATCTTGCCACCAACCTGATTCATTTTCAATTTTCCATATCCATTTGCAAAGAAGAGCAATGTTCATTGTATCTAAATCTAGAATGCCTAAACCTCCATGATCTTTTGGAGAACAAAGTATGGGCCACTGAACCAAGTGATATCTTTTTTCCCCTGTTCTTCCTACCACAAAAGTCTTCTTCGAAAGAAATCCATTTTTTCCTTAACACCCTATGGTAATAATCTATAAAAAGAGATCATGTACAAAGGGACAATACTGAGACTTGAGTTGATGAGAATCAGTCTCCCTCCAATTGATTGTAATCTACCTTGCCAACATCTCAGTTTATGTTCCATCTTGTTTTCAGCAGCCTTCCAATCACTATTATGCAATCTTTTTTTATCAATAGGAACCCCCAAATATCTCATAGGCAAAGCACCTATTTTACAAGTGAAAATTTGACTGTAGAGGCCCTGTTTCTCTCTTGCCTCACCTAGACAAAACACCTCACTCTTGTTGAAATTTATTTTGAGTCCAGATAGTTGTTCAAACAAGCAGAGAATGAATTTCAGATGTTTGGCTTGTTCTAAGTCATCTGACAGCAGAAAGATGGTGTCATCTGCATATTGAAGGATAGTCACTTTGTTGTTATTGCTCACATTCAGACCTTCAATCAACTTATTATCTTCAGCTCTTTGTATCAAAACAGTCAAAGCTTCTGCTGCCAGGTTGAAAAGCAGAGGAGAAAGTGGGTCCCCTTGTCTAAGCCCCTCATGTGTGTTAAAATAAGGACCCAACTCATCATTAACTCTCACTGCAACTTTGCCCCCTCTCACCACTTTCATAATCCAATCACACCATAATGTGGGGAAACCTTTTGCAATTAGCATTCTATACACAAAGGTCCAATCAACCTTATCATAAGCTTTTTCAAAATCCACTTTGAAAAGAATCCCACTTTGTTTCTTTTTGTGAGAAGTATTCCATACTTCATGAAGTATTACTATCCCCTCCATAATAAATCTGTTTTTGAGAAATGCAGTCTGGTTTCTTGCGATTATATAATTTATAACGTTGTCCAGCCTATTCATCAGCACTTATGTTATGATCTTAAAGCTTACATTCAGAAGACATATAGGTCTGAACTTTTGGATTTGTGCTGCATCTTTTGATTTTGGGACCAAAGTGATGATACCAAAATTAAGCCTCTCAATGTCCAAAACACCCTTATGAAAATCATTAAGAAGTTCAAGAAAATCTGTTTTAATCAAGTCCCAAAACTTCCTGTAAAAGTCCCCAGGGAACCCATCAGGACCAGGGGCTTTGTTTTGTTTCAAATAAAAAACCACTTTTTTCACTTCCTCCAGAGAAAAAGGTTTAATCAGCAAAGCTGCATCTTCCTCTGTTATCTTGGTAGCACCTCCCATATCTAATTTTATGTTGTTCAGTTTTGAATGACCAAAAAGATCCTTGTAGAAAGCAGTGATGTATCTCAACAGCTCAGCTTGACCTTCAAAGGCCTTCATCCTGAGATAAAGAAAAACTTCTACTCTTCCTCTTCCTACCATTTGCTTTTGCATGGTAGTATTTGGTGTTGCAATCCCCTTCCAAAGTTTCTTTCTCTTTGCTCCTCTGAAACCACTTTGTTTTTTCTTCCCTAATAGTGAATTTCAGATTAAGCTCCAACTCTCTTCTTTCCTCTCTATCCCTCCAATTCATGCCACAGGTTTCAATTTTAGAGTCTATAACATCAATCTTACTCAAAATTTCATATTTCCTTCTCTTGTATTCACCCTCCCAGTTTTTGTTCCAGCCTTTCAGCTTTCTCCTCAGACAGCCAAATCTCTTCTGCCACCTTTCAATAGTGCTGCCTGAGTAAGAATCATTCCAGACTTCCTGCACAATGCTATCTAAGTCCTCCCTCAAAAACCAACTAAGTTCAAATCTGAAAATGTCTCCTCTTTTGTCAGGATTTCCAGTATCTAATAGTATGGGGTTATGGTCAGAAAGTGCCCTAACCAAAGAGTGAACAGAAGTAAGGGGGTAATCAGCTTCCCACTCATTGTTTATGAAAACTCTGTCCAACTTCTCTAAGGTAGGATTTTCCTGATTGTTACACCAAGTGAATTGTCTCACTCCCATTTGGATGTCTCTCATGCTGTTTTGTTCAAGAATTGCATTAAAAAGGAAACTCCATTTGTTATAACCTCCAGCTTTATTTTTCTCACTCTCTTTCCTCAGGATATTAAAATCACCACCTATCACTATGGGTCTCCTAGAGGCTTGGAATTCCTTAGACAGCTCAGCAAGAAAGGCAGCTTTATGTTCAGTTTGAGCTACTCCATACACCACTAGAAGATCCCAGATTTTCTTGTTGCAAACATTTTGCAACTGCAGTCTGATGTGGAAGTCACCCATTGACTCCCTTCAAATAGAGAACTTATCCTCATTTACTCCCACCAGGATACCTCCAGATCTACCACAAGGTGGAAGCCAAGTCCACTTCATATTTCTCTTACCACTCAAGCTCTGTAACATACTAGCAGTAAAGTTCTGCTTTATGGTTTCTAAAATACCTACAAAATCTAATTTTAAATCTTTAACAAGGTCTTGAAGATGACCTATTTTTTCTGGATTTCCCATCCCTCTAATATTCCAAAAGAGGCCCTTCATTAATCTTTAGTTTTCTTTTTTCTTTTCCTGACAACTTTGGGGGTTACCTTGAAAATCTCAAGGTTCCCCTTTCTCTGTTTCATTTTTCTAGCTGAAGATTGAATCTGTTTAAGCACATGCTCAATTTCTTTAAAATCCTCATCATTAGTTTCAGAATCCAAATCATCAGAAAAAACATTTAAATCAGGATTTGAATTCTCAAAGGAATCAAGACAATGTTGACCTTCAGAATTTGTTCCCTCTTTCAGAAAGAGGTTAATTCTGGCCATCTCTAAGTCTCTAATCAGATTAATATTAGAGGCTATATCATCAACAGCACAACCCAGATTGACCCCTAAAACACTAGCAATATCAATTAAAGAGACATTTGATTCATGTATGAAGGAGGGAATTTTTATTGATGAAAGCATTTTGTGCTTCTTTCCTTTCCATTGCCATCTCTTGGGACCTCTTATCTTCCTTGTCTTTCAGTCTCTTGCTTCTCCTCATCTCTTCATCTTGACTTCCAAGAGCTTCTTCAGTTAGATTAATCCCCAACCTCTTAGCAAAACTTCCCTTAGACTCCTGAGAATCCATGTAATCTTCACTGTCCCCCGGATCTACTTTGTCCTTGTCTTCTTGATTCAAACCCATATCAAAACTGACTCTATTCTCCTTATCCCCTGGAACATCTGTCTAAGAGCTTTCTAATTCTTCAGCCAACTTTTGATTCATCGGTTGCTGCAGAGTATCAACCTGCTCCTGTGACATTTCCTTTTTCCCAACCTCTTTCCTTCCTTCACAGCACTGAGTCAGAATACAGTCTCCTTTCTGCAGTTGCATTGCCAACTCCATGTCTCTCAAGATCTGTGCACATTTGATCTTATGTTCTCCCAGCATCAATTCTGGCACCAGGACTTGCTTCTGACAAACTTCAATAGCCCGTTACCCGTCTTACTGACATGGTGATCTTCTGTCATGGGATCCACCACCACAACTTGCTTACCCTCTCTCTGACTGCTACCCTCCAGAGTATTTTCTTGTATCTCAATTTTCTCAAAAGTGTCATCTAGCTGATCACTAAACCACCCCAGTTCCACCACCTCCTCTAGACTGAAATGAGCTTGGAACAAAAGTCCCTTGGGAGAAGTTAACACTAGTTTCAAAGGCAGAACACCCAGCTCCATCATTCCAACTTTTGCCCTGATCACATTGCTAGCTCTGAAAGTAGCCATATCAACCTCCAAGACAGGCCCTAGATTTGACCCAATTTCATACAAAGCTTGGTAACCCTTCATTTCCTCAGGAATTCCAGTGATTTTGACCCAGACAATATGCAACTTCCCAACTGCTTCAGATTTCTGGGTCCATTCTTTCACATTAACTTGCACATCAGTGCCCTTGACATTGAAATAATCAAAGTTTGCAAGCTCATCAAACTTTATCTTGTTACGAAATCTCATCTGAAAGCTTCCATTAGGCATTGCTTTAGCTTTCCAAACCCAATTCCACTTAAATTGTTGCGTGAAACCTTGCTCAAGTTGAGCTTCTGTCAATTCTCCACCAAAGACAGTAGAGATCATAGCCAGAGGATTATTATGCTCCTTAGGTGGGTCAGGCTTAGTGTTTTGAATTAAGATGCAACCTAAACCTGGAGCACCATACCCTACTAGCTTTGCCATAGGCCTCGGCTGCTTGTCATAGATGCAATCCTCTGTCCTATGTGTGGGTTTGGCACAATTTATACAGAAGACAACATTGCTACAATCCCTAGCCATGTGGCCAAAACCTTTGCATCTGTGGCAGAAAATTCTCTGTGGGTTAGTTTGCATACCAGTGCGAGAATTGGGTGGTGGAGTTGGTTGCTGGGTTGCAGTCTGAGGAGTCACTGCAGATGTCGCAATCTTCTCTTCAGTTTGATTCTTCTCCTTCTGAACTGGACGATATTGCTGCAGCTTCCCCCCTTTGTTCATCTGGCCCCTCATCTCTCCACCTCCAGCCTTGGTGGATTGCTCACTCCCAGCTTGCGAGGAGCCCCCCTGGTGCGCCACTGCGGGAGGGCGACCTTCCTCACCACGGCTGGACGCCGACGCCACCCTCCGCCTGGATGCCCTTGATTCGCCATTCGCCCACGAACCACCCTTGCAAATCGACGCTTATCGCCTTGGATTGTGCCTCTCCACCGAGATTCACCACCTCCGATCCCCAATCGAGGCCACTCCTCCGCCTCCACACCCTTGCAACTTGTGGATTCCTTCCGCCGCCACTCACCTCTCAACCCTAAATTTCTCGGGCTCTCTCCCCACAGATGATGGAGATGGGGAACCAACTGTTGGAGGTGAGTGGATTTGGGGGGATCCATTACTGTCAAAACGGGGCATCACGTGTTTCTAAATATGGGGTTCTATTTTTATTATATGGTAAAATTTCTTTATTGTGAAACATTCAAAGAACGTGTATCTTCTCGTAGACACGGTAAAAATATGGTAATTAGCTGTTGGACTCCCGAGATATTATTTTATTATTTTCGGTGGAACCAAAGAGACCACGAACTTAGTGTCGAGGATGTGTGAGACACATACCCCGGGCAGCAAAGCTGCTCCATGGTGGCCTTCTCATTTGTCTCTATGCGCACACGACAGAAGAATACCGAGAGGGCGGATGCCGGCGACGGAGGAACATGGTTTATTACCGGTTGACCACTAAATTTTGACCTCCATTGTTATCACGGTTTTCTATAAATTTCGATCGGTTTTCGATAAATTTTGACCAAATCTATTATTTAACCTTTGAAATTCTAATCGAAACTTAATTCCGAGCCGTGTCGAAACGTCGAAATTTCATAGAATTCGACCGGTTTTCGTCGGAATTGTGAACCTGCGGAGGAAAGCGCGGCGAAAAATTAAGTATTTTTTAAATAGGTTAGGTTAGATTAGATTGGTAAGGATAAAGATAAAGATAAAGATAAAGAGAAAAGAAAGGGACACAGCACAGGGCCGGAATGCGGTTTATGGGCTTACATGGTGGGCCGGGCAGCCCAACCCATTCCGCCCCACCTGCACTGAACTGACCGGATCGAGTTGTTCATCCGCACCGCACCGCACCGAAGCTTCTCCCTCCCTCCCGGCCTCCCTTGCCGCCGCCGCCGCCGCCGCCCCGCGCCCATCGCCCGACGCCGACGCTCCTCCGGCCAGATCCAACCCCCTAGCTACGGCGCTCCCTTTCTGTCCGTTTGATGGGCGGCGGCAGAGGCATGTAGCTAGCTAGGGTTTCAACAATGAAGTCCATCCAAGACTATCTTGCTCGCTCCAACTCCAAGTCCAAGGTCCCTCCTCCTCTCCGCCCCTACACATTCTGAATTCTCGCGCCTCCCTGTATTCATTCTAGTTCGATACAGCTAGTAGAAAATTCATCAGCTTTGCTCAATTGCTCAATAAGATTATAAGAAAATTTATGTTTCTCCTTCCTTTTAGACTAGGCGTAATATACATATATGATCAGTCCCTTAACTCTTGAAACCGGGTAAAAACATGTACCTCCAACCTGTTTAACAGGGGTTTTACCCAAACTGGAGATGGGACCTGCTTGATCATCGTTTGTCGTGTGGGCCCACCATTTATCCTCAATGACAAGTGGACCTCACCTCCTATGCTGCTCAAAACCATGTCAAACGGGGACAAGATTTATCCTGTTTTGAGAGTGTGAGCTATGAGTTGTATCTAGTTTTTCAATTAAGGGATGACTAGAAAAAATGCCCGTGCGTTGCAACGGGAAAAGACTATTTTAATCTTATTATTATTATATGTTTTAAGTCAGGTGAAATTCACTGTAGAAATTCGCTTGAATATATGTATTTTACAAAAATCATGAGCTGTAGTTAGGAGTCCAACCGTGTAAGTTAGCATGCGATTTTTTTAAAAAAAAGGATTTCTTATACGACTCCTTCTGTATTTCCAAAAGCGAACGAACTTAAAAACCTATTCAAATACGAATATGTATTTCCAAAAGCAAACGAACTTAAAAACCGACTCATACACGGATGACGTACCAAAGTACCGCAAAAACATCTTGAATTTTTATAATAGTAGAGATAGAGATGAGAAATTAGCCCAAGTGAAAAAGAAAATCCAGGGAGAATTATCATCTTTCTACTGCCATTTGTTTCTCACTACCCCTGTTGCCTGTTCTACTTTGCAGAATTCAGAGTTGGTTATGAAAGATGACATCCCTCTGGGTCTTGGAGCTGCCAAAAACTCAACTGCTGCTCCTGATTCCAGTCATGCTGTTGAAGAAGAATATGTTAGTAAGAGAAAGCTGACATCGAGTGTGTGGAAAGAATTCAAGAGGAAGAAAATCGACAGCAAGTGGAAAGCCGAGTGCCTATGGTGCCATAAGAGGCTCGGAGGGGACACTAAGAATGGCACCAAACATTTGCACGATCATCTCAGCAAATGTCCTCGTCGCAGGAGTAATAAAGTCAGCAAGCCAACTCCCTCCAAATGTACAAAGGATATTGATCAGGAACCCACTGTTGCTTCTTTAGAAAGCTCCACCTTTAGCCAGGATGTTGCCAGGATGGAGCTTGCGAGAATGATTATCTTGCATGAATATCCTTTGTCTATTATGGAGCATTACGGTTTCCAAAGGTTTGTTAGGGCTCTTCAACCATTGTTCCAGCTGGTTCCCAACAGTAGTCTTAAGAAGGATGTTATCAGCATTTATGAGACGGAGAGGGTCAGAACCAGGGAAATTTTGTGGGAGGCTAAAGGTCGGATTGCAATAACAGCAGATATATGGACATCAGATGATCAAAATAGAGGTTATGTGGCTGTCAGAGCTCATTTTATCGACCAATCCTGGACATTCCAGTGCCGTCTACTGAGGTGTGTTCCTTTTTCATTATTTTTCGAGCGCATAGATGTGTGTATGTATATTTTCAAATATAGTTGCAGTTTTCTCGGTCCAAAGTTCTATTCAGACTATTTTAATGTAAAAACTTATTGTGCTTTGATTGCCACATGCAGCTTTATACATGTGCCATGGCCGCATACAGCTCAAGCAATTTCTGAAACTCTGTCTTCTTGTTTGAACGAATGGAATCTTGGAAGGAGGGTATCAATGGTGATGGCTGATGATTGTTCTACAGATGATACGGTTACGGGGCTCTTAAAGCAAAGGCTGGATACCGAACAACTTTTGTTAGGTGGGTCTTTGCTGAACATGAGATGCTGCGCCTATGTGCTAAGTAGAATTGCCAATAGTTGCCTGGGTGTGATGGGAGGTGCTGTTGATAGGATCCGCGCCAGTGTTGATTTCTGGACAGCAACAACTGAAAGAGATGTAGTGTTTGCTGATGTTGCTCGTGGTTTGAATGTTAATCTCGACAAGAAGTTGACTCTTGATTGTAATAATAGATGGTACTCTACCTTATCCATGTTAAATGTTGCCATAAGCTACAAGCAAGTCTTTGATCACTTAAGGCAAATAGAGGAACAGTATATTTGTGCTCCTGATGATGATGACTGGAAATTAGCAAAAGAGGTCTGCAGTAAGTTGAAACTGTTTTCTGACATTGCAGAACTAATTTCAGAGGCTAAGTATGTTACTGCTAATATGTACTTCCCCAAGATTTGTGGAATTCGGATGGCCATGAGGAGATGGCCTGGGTGTGAGGATGAACTGATAGGAAGGATGAGAAATGAAATAGCCGAATTGTTTGAGAAATATTGCGTTGAAGTTCATGATCTCATGGCTGTGGCAACTGTCCTAGACCCCAGATATAAGCTTGAGCTACTGCAGTTTTATTTCCCCTCAATTTTTGGTGATGAGGCATACAATGAGATAAATAGAGTCCGGCAGCTCTGTTATGATTTGATCAAACAGTATCAGGGTCCCCAATCAAAAGTCGGTGCAATGCAGCCTTGTGGGGGGGAGGAAGAGGGTCCAGATCAGTTATCTAGCTTCGATCTATATATCGCTTTCAAGTTCTCCAGTGCAGATGTCAAGTCAGAACTAGACAAATACTTGGACGAGCCTGTTATCCCTAGAGCAGTAGACTTTGACATAATAGATTGGTGGAAGATTATGGGGAAGAGGTTTCCAACTCTGCAGATGTTAGCAAGAGACATTTTAGCGGTTCCTGTCTCAAGGGTAGTTTCTGAATCGGCGTTTAGCATTGCTGGAAGGGTTTTGAGTCCACAGCGTAGCAAGCTTTTACCTGATACACTGGAGGCCTTGATGTGCTCACAAGATTGGCTTCATGCAGAAAACAGAGGTGTTTGCCTTGTGTTATTGTCATTGTCTAGTAATGTTGATTTCATCCAGTGAAAGGGGTGAGAATGCTGATTGCCTGGTTGTCTGGAACATGCAGGTGCAGGATCGTCAGGGCTCTTGAGCTGCCTCACTTGCCTGGAAGATGCTGATGTAACTACAAAGGTACGTGTGGTGAAATTCGCCTCTATAGAGTCTTGTCGAACACAAGAGATATGAGTTGTGTTAATGAGTGTTATATATTGTTTGGGAATTTTGCCGTATGCAGGAGTGAAGTTTGGACGCCTGTTGATTGTTTGCTACAAATATATGCTGAAGTTGATCTCGCACATTCACCAGCTGAATTAAAGCGCTGAGATCTGGGTTAGCTTTTTTTTTGGTTTATCTCAAGAGTATTGTGGGTAAGGAAGGTGGTGTGTATGTTGGAACTGTGAGGAGTCTACTAAAATGAAGAAAGCATTCAGTTGATCATTCTTTTCAGGAAAGATTAGTTGCAAAATTCTGTGCGTAAGCTTGCTGTTGTAACTGATGGGCGTTATTGTGTTGATGGATGGGAGATTAGGGGTAGTTGGATGTGCTGTTTAATTTAGGTGCTGGTATTAATTAAGTAGGCAGTATGTGGTTAGAACTCTGCAGTTAAGATGAGGTAGTATCCTGACTGTTGGTAACTCCACTAGAAATGAGAGTGGATTGGAGGGGTTAAATTAATTTTGTTTTGTGTGGATTGGTTTGAGGAAGGATTGGAAGCTCTGGTGGTGTGTATAGTTAGTTAGCGTCAGAGTTTGGTAAGCACCGTACAAGCAGTTTGGAGGAGAATTGGAGAAAGAAGAATAACATAGAGCGAAGAGAATATGTGTGTGTGTGTTTGGCTTTGCCTGCAGTGGGAGGGTGCGTGCGTGAAACGGTGACCCAGACACACAAGCAAACACTTGTTACTTGAGGCCGGTTAAATTACTTGACCAGCAGTTTGCTGGCTAATACATAGTACTAGTAGTAGTATATTGGTGGTGTATGCAGATGCAGTTTTTTTTTTTTTGGGTGAGATGAGAGCTATGCAGAGGCAGTAGGCGTGCGTAATTCATCTTGCTCCTAATTCCCTTCCAAATGCAATTGCGCTTGATGCATGCATGCTGGCGATTCCTTGCACATATCTGCATGCACGTAGACGCACGCTTAGGCTTGTTAGTTTTTAGGTTGCTTGTGAAATAAACATGGAATAATCTTGTGCATAAAATGCAGGCATGCACGCTAGCTATATCTTAGCTGCAGCTGAAGAAGAAATGAGCTATAGTAGAATAAGCTTAAGATTTACCTTTTTCTTTCAGGCAGGCAGGCAGGCAGGGCGGCTGGGTTTGTTGCTTGCTTGCACTGTTGGAAGATCCATCATCGATCTTTGTTAATTTGTTGGTAAGGCTAGCCAATATATATGGATGAATCGTCCCCATACATTTATCATCGATGAGCGCGGGGCGGGAAACTAACAAATTAACGATCGACTCTGTGTCTGTGATCTTATAGGGTAGGGTAGGCGAGAGGAGGCGGATAGATAGCTAGAGTATATGAATAATATGAGGACGACGATGCGGCGGCCGGAGATGGTGTTCTTCGACGTGGAGACGACGGCGGCGTCGGCGGATGAGGGGCAGCGTAGTGTGCTGGAGTTCGGGGCCATCGTGGTGTGCCCCCGGAGGCTGGTGGAGGTGGACAGCTACCACACGGTGATCCGGCCGGGCGACATGTCGGCGGTGTCCAAGAGGTTCGCCGCTATGGTGGATGTGGACGTGGCGTCGGCGCCGAGCTTCGATCAGGTGGCGGAGCGCATCTTCGGCGTGCTGGACGGGCGGGTGTGGGCGGGGCACAACATCCAGCGCTTCGACTGCCACCGCATCCGCGAGGCGTTCGCGGCCATCGGGCGGGCAGCGCCGGAGCCCGTGGCCATCGTCGACTCCCTCAACGTGCTGGCCCACGACTTTGGGCGCCGCGCCGGCGACCTCAAGATGGCCACCCTCGCCTCCTACTTCGGCATCGGCAAGCAGAGCCACAGGAGCCTTGACGACGCCCGCATGAACCTGGAGGTGCTCAAGCGCTGCGCCACCCTCCTGCTGCTCGAGTCCACCCTTCCCCCGGGCATGCTGCACTCCTCCGCCGCCGGATCCATCACCAGGAAGAGGAGCAACCACCAAGAGGAGCCATCGTCGTCGTCTCTTGTCAATGTGACGCCTAGTAAAAGGAAGCAGCGGCAGGGCAGCGGCGGCAAAATCAGGCCCAAGGCAGCAACCACCACGCCCAAGCCATGCTTCCACATGATCCTCAGGCACTCCAGGACCATCCTCAGATAGCCCTTTGCTTTGCTGCTAACTCACTCACTCTTTCATTGCTCCATCCATTGGGGTTTAGTTCATTCTTCTTCGTCAATTGTATTCTATATATGTCTGTAATTCTCTACTGTATATACACTTCCTCCCTCCCTCTGTACAAGTCTTGTCTTGTCTAATTGTAAACAATACATCCATTAACTTCAAGTTGCAAACATTCCTTCTGAAGCCTCCTGGCTGAGCTGATTTGGCCTTCCTTTTGTCTCCCCAGTCACAAATTCAGTAGGGCTTAGCCAGCCTCAACAATACCAGTTACATCAACACACGGTGCCAATCGTCAGGCACAACAACACACACTAAATCTTAAATTTGGCCTACACCTAAGGCAACCATATATATGCATGCCAACACCAACATGACTCTGCCTGATCACACAACACTCAGTATGCATGCCAATTGAATTGGATGAAATGAACCAACAAACTCTTGCCCTTTTTACAACTTATTCATCTCGTTGCACATATAGCTCAGCAACAGTACAACATTTCAGTAAGCTAGATGGATTCACAGGTGACCTTCCCTTTTTACAACACCAGTACACAGGCTCATATCATTCACAAACACACAATTGATGGAACTGGGCACGAGCAGACTAATGAGGATTTTTCACATTAATTGATCGATTGATTGCATCTTACATGCCAGTACACTACAGTATTTACAGACTGACCGACACATATTTACAGACTGACCGACACCATGGACCTGGATGTTACTACCTTTTGTACACACACAAGATGATATAGCTACAGACGGGAGACCTCATTTATGTACATCCGAAAGCTCTCTGCGATTGTGCAGTTTCAAAAGCCACAATCAGAAGGGCAATGCCAACTCAACTCGACAAAAAGAAGCCCAAAATAAACTAATTTATGCCCTCCTCAGCACACGGAAAATTTACAAGTTTTGGTGGCAGGATAGCGTTAGGGTCAATGAGAATGCTCAGGCAAAGGTGACTGCACAGTGGGGCTCCTTGTTCCCACAAGCAAAACCTTCAATTCTAACTTTTGGGCTGCTTGCCCCGCAAGATGGAGAACCTACTTCAGCTCTTCCAGCAGACTTTTTGCCGAAAGAACTCCCTAAAGGAGAAAAGGAAGGTATGTTTTTACCAAACTGTGGATCATGGACAATGGGGTTGTTAGCGCGCACAGGAGGTGAGCCACAGAAAAAGCCCACCTGGGTGCTCGAATCAGTATCAACATCAGGGTCATTCTGAAACAAAACGAGACAATTGGAGAATTATAAATTCAGAATATGTATGGAGGCAGCATAGATAGCTAGCGTAAATTGACAGTTTACAGACAGCCGCAAGAAGCTACAGGTAAAGCACCTTACTGAGGATGAGGTCGAGGACATCAGAAGCAGAGTCAGCTCTGTACACCGGTAATGTCCTGCAAATAATTAAAAAGCGCGCACAGGTCAGCAATAACCCTAAGTCATTATGTGAAACGTATATTTTGTCGTCACATGTGAACCGTGTGATGCCCATTGCTGAATTTGTCGCTACATGCTCGCTGTCGTTACTAGAGCCTAGGCACTATTGTGCGCATATAGTAGAATAATATTTCGCATGAAAGAATCTTTTGACAATTATTGAATTGAATTAAAATTATGGGCAGTGTTGTGGTATGGTTATTGGTACCATATGTGCATAAATTTTGGTGAGCCTCAGCTCCTTTGTTGGAAGGAATGCATTGCATCCAAGTGTACAGCCTGGAGTAGATATGTGCTAAATTAAATTGCAGCTAAAAAAAGGAGACCCATGCTCAATATGGTTTGATTAGGGTTTGGGGGTGGACCTGTTGATGGAGTCGGATAGGAAAGGAGGGCGGGGTGACGGGCGGCGAGGCATGGGACAGATGAGCTCGGTGGGTTGGGAATCCATCTGCCAAAATCTTGACCTTCGGTCGGGCATGGGGTCTACTAGTCTCCCTCCTCCATTGCTGAACTTGGTCGAGTAGTGTTCCATGCCTCTCGCTCTCTTGAGTGTAGTGTGTAGCAGAGACCTGAAACAAGAGAAGAGGAAGGCGCATGATGATTTCACAACTCAATCTTTGATTCACTACCCGATAATATAAACTAATACTAGTGGGCGGTAGTAAACAGCATCGAAATTATTGTAGTGGAGTAGTATAAAGAAATTGGAAATCGCATGTATAAGGGCGTTGGGTTATTAGGTAAAAAAAATACTGAAATAATAATAAAAAAATAAACAAAGGAGGATAGCGGCGGATCTCATCAGAGCGGACCTGAAGCCCCAATTTTTTTTTGGGAAGAAACTAGTGTCGTTAGTGGTAGAACATAAGAGTGGAGAAGGTTATTAGGGCAAAATAAGTTGCAGATCTGGAAGAGAAGATAGGGTTAGGGGGGCGCAAAAGAGAGGAGATGTAGGGACGGGGTGGGGCGGGGTGGGGTGAGTGCTCACCGGTGGGCGAGGATGCGGAGGCACAAGGACGGCGACGGCGAGCGGAGGATGGACGGAGATAGATCGGCGAAGGAAGTTTCAGGCGAGGGGGATGGACGGGGTAGCTAGGGCCTAGGGGATGGATGGTCTTGGCGCGGGCATACCTGCTGCTGGCTGCTGCTTCTTCGTCTTCCTCTTCCTCTTCCACCGCCGCCGGCACACCACCACTGCGACCGCGATGCGGATGCGAACCGGAAACAAAAACAAAAAAATAGAAAATAATTTCTCCGTCGCTGTTTGTTTGTTGGGTTGGGACTTGGGAGGAGAGGAGAGACCCCCGCCCCGGCATTTATTAGGGGTGGGCCCCCTGTCTGTATGACGCGTGGGACCATGCCCCACACGTCAGACCCCCCATCCCATCTCATCTCATCCCCCACAAGCCAAGCAGCCTCCGTTCGGAGTCCGTGTAAGACACCGTCTCTCATCTCCACTTCAGTCCGGTTCTGTCTTGCCCCAAATCCAACCATCTCTCTCTCTCAGCTTTTGCACAAACAAACGTGCTTAACCACCACACGATTCATCCTCCTTACGTTACGCTCATTTTATTAGATCAGATCGGAGAAAGTTTATCAAATACTTTTACAACAGTTCTGCTAAGATTAAAAAAAAGGCACCATTTACACCATCGTTTTATCATTCCTTATATCCGTTGTGATCGAATTCTATATTGGTTGCCTCTAAAATATCAACGGTAAAGATTACCACTTCTATCATTTAATTCTAATCTAATTGTTGGTCTCTAGAAGAGATACATCAATCAAAACCATGTTTGTTATCCTATCTCATTATCGGGCTCAAGAGATATATCATGCTACTATTAGTCTCTGTACAAAAGAGTATATCAATAAGAGTGACACTAATTAATGTCCTCGAGGTATATAAGATGCGTCATAGTCACTCCTTGAAGAGAGACGTCTAACGTGAGCAACACCTCTGACTAAGGAGATAGGATGTGTTTCCATCAGCCTTATAAAAATTGATGATAGAAACAAGGATACATTGAAATGAGACGACGATGAAAGTAGACGTCCGTCTCTAAGGCTAGGGTTTCATAAACAAAGCCTAACCCAAATACATTTCAGATATTCACATCTTATAACCATAAGTTTTATCAAATTTACTCTACACCCCTACGTGTTATTGGAATATTTGTATTGATTTTTTATATCTATTGTCTTGCTGCAGCCTTACCTTCTCTATATAATTGAATTGAAGTTTTTTAAAAAAAATGGAACATAGGATGGGAATATTATAGAAGATAAAATACCACAAGCACAACATGTTTGATTTGGCATGACAACAATGGCATGTCGTTTTGTTCCAAACTATATTATTTTCTTCCTAAGACGCAAGCGCTTTTGTCTTGATGTCAATAGTACCCTCCGTATCGGTACCGTTACGAATATATCCAACATGGATACTGTCATCAATCCCATTTCATTAGTCTAAAACGTGAAAAAAAAGCATGTGATTCAAGTAAGATGTCTTTCTAAAAGCAACTTAGCTTGTGTAAAATCGGGGCATGCTAGATATACTATAAAAGGATAGTTTTGGGATAATACGCAAACGTATTGTTATAAAGAGACCAATAGAGGTAAGTGAAATGGTATCCAAAGAGTCAGTGTGCATGGACGAGGCGTTATTAGAGGCATGGATCTAATATCGTGAATTACGACTGTTTGGAGTGATTCCGCCGCCACATTGTCCCTCCCCCTTTTCATCTCCGCGCGTTCTTGCTAGAGATAAGGATGAAGGGAGCCTGTCCCTCCTTTGGTTGTATATAAATACACCCCCTCCCCCCCAAGCATAAGGAACTCATGACTCGACTGTCTGGAGCGACTCCGCCGCCACCTCGTCCCCTCCCTTTCATCTCCACGCGTTCTCACTGGAGATAAGGATGAAGGGAGCCTATCCCTCGTTTGGTTGTATATAAATACACCCTCTCCCCCCCCCGAGCATAAGGAACTCATGACTCGATTGTCTAGAGCGACTCCGCCGCCACCTCATCCCCTCCCCTCCTTTCATCTCCATGCGTTCTCGCTGGAGATAAGGATGAATGGAGCATGCCTCTCATTTGGTTGTATATGAATACATCCTCTCCCCCAGCAGAAGAACTCACGACTCGTCTGGAGTGACTCCGCCGCTACCTCATCGGCCCCTCCCCTATTTTCATCTCCTCGCGTCCTCATTGGAGACAAGGAGGGATGAAGATGTCCCCCATCTGGTTGCATATAAATGCATCCGCCCTACCCAAACAGAAGGAACTCACAACTCGACTGTTAGGAGTGACTCCGCCGCCACCTCGTCCCCTCCCCTCCATGTCATCTCCGTGCGTTATCGCCGGAGATAAGGAGGAAGAGAACAAGTTCCTCGTTCGTCTTCGGTAGGTTTTCAATAAATCTTGTACGAGGTTAGATCGATTAGATGTTGATGGGACTTTGGCTTCTCTAAAGTCTTTTGCTTTTTATCCCTTTGGTGGTGGGTATTCCATTCGTAAGGCTATATATGGAAAATTTGGGAAGACTTCTCTATTAGGTCGTCGATAATTATATTTGCGGTGTTGACTTAGGACCTTGGTTTCCGATTTATTCGATAACATCGGGTCAATGTTGTATGGGAAGAATAAAAATGTTGACGGGTGTTTGTTCATATGTTTTTTGCTGTGTTGAGATTGGTTAGCTACCATGACAGTGGCTGTATGCATGTTTATCTTGTGTCGTTCAAAGATGTAGAGCCTCTTATGCTATATTTTGATTGTTTCTATATTTTAAAAGCAAAGTTTATAACCATGGGCCAGAAAAAGGAAAACTATATATTGGTTTATATGGTCCGGTTTAGCTTTTGTTAAAAGAAGACTTTAGAAAACGTGAGGGTGAGGGATATTCTTTTTAGGTGTAAAGGGCGGTTTAATCTATTATTATAAAAAAATGTGAGGAGTTGATGGATGGATGTTTGTTTGCGGAAGTTGTGACAGAGAGGAGAGAGAGAGAGGGGGGGTGGAGTAGTGTTGTGACGGTGGGTCACGCCGCTGAAGGGGGAAAGACGTGGGTGGTGGGGTGTGGACAACTGGCAAATGGAGAGACTAGAGAGGAAGGTGGGGGGCATATTGGTCATTTCAACCTGCCGCGCGTTTTCCTTCCTTCCTTTCTTGCTTGTTTGATTTCCCCTTCCTTCCCAATTTCCATCGGCGGGCGCGGGAGCGGGCGGGTGCGGGGGCGCGCGCGCTTCTCCCAGTTCCCATCCAAAAAAAGAAGGGATCCTTTTCATTTCATTTTGGTAGCGTGGCGTGGCGTGTGGGGTCCGGTTGGCAGTGAGTGCGGGGCGGGGGACGCGTTCACACCAAGCCACGGCAGCTGACGCGTGGGGTCCATCATCGTCTCCCTCCGGCGATCCACAGATAGATAGAGACGCCTGGGCTGGGGCTGGGGGGCTACAAATAGCAAGGACGAGTGAAGAGGAGGAGACCACCCCACTCCGCTGTCGGGTTGGGTTTTGAGATCGAAAATTTTTGAGATTTCAAAACCTCCTCCATTCCCTCCCTTCCTCGCCCCCAAAAACCCTAGCCGCCGCCGCCGCCATGCCTGATCTCCCCTGCGACGGCGATGGCGTCTGCATGGTCTGCCGCGTCGCCTCCCCTCCCGAGGTCGATCTCCTCCGTTGCTCCACCTGCGCCACCCCGTGGCACTCCCCCTGCCTCTCCAAGCCCCCCGCCCTTGCCGACGCCGCCCAATGGAGTTGCCCCGACTGCTCCGGGGACTCCACCGACGCCCCGCCCCCGGCCCCGGCACCGCTCGCCCCTGGGAGTGCCGGCCAACTCGTCGCCGCCATCCGCGCCATCGAGTGCGACGCCACCCTCTCCGACCAGGAAAAGGCACGCCGCCGCCAGGAGCTTCTCGGCGGCGCCGCGCCCGCCGGTGCCGACGCCGATGATGACGAGGGGGACGACGTCCTCGAGGTCATCGGCAAGAACTTCAGCTGCGCCTTCTGCATGAAGCTGCCCGAACGCCCCGTCACCGTCAGTACTCTTGCGGGGCCTTTCCCCCATTCTTCCTCTTACTACTTGCTTTGCTTATATGTACGATGATTTATCTTAACGCTAGGGTGATGATGGGGGCTATCCTATCCCCTCTCTTCACACATTTATATTCATTACTTACATTAGAGTTGTATCATCCCTGATTATCCGTCAATCTTATTTTGAGTTGACGCTGCCATTTATTCTTTTCTGTTGGTTCAATTTGCATTTCCTGTTATCGTTTAAGGTTTCTAACTAGTTGAAATGACCATGTACCATTTCTACATGATATTGTTTGCTTTTGCTACTCATTTCTTATATTTCTTATTTACGCTACCATTTGAATTCCAATAACGGAACAAGTCTTCTAAAAAGGCACCCACATAACCTGCTTAGGTGCTAGGCTTACATCCTCCCACCAGACCACTCTTAACTGATTATCATGAACCAGATCATCGATGTTACGCACCTCGTAGAGTGATGCTTACATTTCTTTATTTCTATTAATTGAGACTGCAATGCTTGTTACAATTCAAGTTTAACTTGTTGAACACATCGATTGCATGCCCTTTCTAGATGATAATTGTTTGCTTTGGTAATGCCAACTGGTATGTCACTCCTAATTTTCACCACATGCACACATTTACTATGCCTAGATATGTTTGTTTTAGCTCATACCAAATCCACCGTACAATTCTGATAATGCAAACAGTATTCTAAAAAGGCAATCCACGTAACCTGCCTAGGCTCTAGGATTAGGCTTACACCGTCCTGCCTTGCCAGCCTAGCTCATTACATCACCCAAGCGGCTGCCTAATCAGTCACTAGACATTTGTATGTGGTACAGCTAGCTTCTATTGCCATCACATGCTTGTTCTTCTGGATTGATGCAATACCTTGCATTGTTAAAAGTGCTGTCTTGTTCTTTTGGGGTATTGGTTTAACCTTCCAGTTTCTGCACATAATTCTTATTTTGATCCATGCATTGTAGGTAGGTAAAAGTTCTTGCTATTCTGTCAATTCATTGGACCCTTTTTTTTTTGGGTAGCGTTTCTAACCATCAGATTCTACTTTTGTCTTGGGCAGACACCATGTGGCCATAACTTTTGCTTGAAGTGCTTCCAGAAATGGATCCACAGCGGAAAAAGGACATGTGGTAAATGCCGGGCACAAATACCAGCAAAAATGGCAGAGCAGCCAAGAATCAACTCAGCATTAGTTTCTGTTATCCGTATGGCTAAGGTTTCAAAGAATGCCAACTCAGCTGTCTCTGCAGCTGCGTATCATTACATACGAAATGATGATAGACCTGACAAGGCTTTTACAACTGAAAGGGCTAAGAGGGCTGGAAAAGCTAATGCTTCAAGTGGCCAGATCTTTGTTACTATCCCACCCGACCATTTTGGCCCCATTCTTGCAGAGAATGACCCCAAGAGAAGCATTGGTGTTCTAGTTGGGGATACATGGGAAGACAGACTTGAGTGCAGGCAATGGGGTGCCCATTTTCCTCACGTGGCTGGTATTGCTGGCCAATCCACACATGGTGCTCAGTCGGTAGCCCTCTCGGGTGGGTATGTCGATGATGAGGACCATGGGGAATGGTTTCTATATACTGGAAGGTTAGCAAACTTGACCATTTGCCATCATTCAGTTTTTCTCAGTGATCTCTGATATGAGCAATTGCTAATACACTCTATAATATAATTTATACTTGTACAGTGGTGGAAGAGATCTAAGTGGGAACAAGCGTACAAACAAGGAGCAGTCCTCAGACCAGAAATTTGAGAAGCTGAATGCTGCTCTTCGTATTAGTTGCCTCAAGGGTTACCCTGTCAGGGTTGTGCGGTATGTTCTTTCTGCCATGATTACACTTAGCAGTTTAATCTTAAGGAGATAATGTTATGCCTGAGTAAATTGTCATACCTTTGTAATCTGTGCCTTTCCATTATTATTATAATTGGTAAAATCTTGCTGTAGAAAGATAATTCTGATCTGCCGCTGTTATAGTTATGTAGATATTTGTTGGCTCTTGAAACAGATAATTTTTGTAGGACTACTACTGTCGCTCTATGGAGTACTACTGTTTAGTGTATATATTTGTTCTCTTTTGTTTGTCTGTCTGTTATTGATGATCCAAATATATATCCTTTTCACTATTCAAATGATTTATAGTTTGTCATGCCCCCCTAACTCATTACATTCCCTTAAAAAAAGGTCCCACAAAGAGAAGCGTTCTTCATATGCTCCTGAAGCTGGTGTGAGGTATGATGGAGTTTACAGGATTGAAAAATGTTGGAGGAAGATTAGTGTTCAGGTAACGCCATTCTCTTGTACACAGCTTTGTGAATGTTGCTTTGTAGTTTTGTGCTCTGCAGTTCATCAGTTGATAATTCTTTTTATTGGAAACATAATGGATATTTTGCTGTCTTGTCTCTTAGGGTAAATTCAAGGTTTGCAGGTATCTCTTTGTACGTTGTGACAATGAACCAGCTCCTTGGACTAGGTTCGTTGAAATGCTTACTTTTGACTTGAGACATGCATATTGTTCATTATTCATTTGAGCAACACATTTTGTTCATACTGACATTATGTTATTTGGTTTTAAGTGATATTTATGGTGACCGTCCGAGGCCACTCCCCAAAGTTGATGAGCTGAAAGGTGCAACAGACATATCAGAGAGGAAAGGAACTCCTTCATGGGACTTTGATGTATGTGCCTGTTTCTATGTGATGCAATATCATCATATAATGCTTTATTTTGGCTCCATGTCACCATACTATGCTACCGCTAACCTCTGATTTCTATTGGTTCATAACAGGAGAAAGAAGGCTGGAAGTGGGTGAAGCCTCCACCAATCAGCAGAAAGCCTAACCTATCAGGGGATCCTGCAACTGACAAGGAAATCCGGAGGGTTGCAAGGCGTGCCCAGATGTCTGTGACTGAAAGGCTGCTGAAAGGTTCTTTCTGTTGCATGCTTGTTATTTAGATATGTACTATTACAACTTGTGTTCGTAGCTTCGAAGCACTAAATTGCTCACTCTATATTGGTTTATGTTTCCTGCAGAGTTTGGATGTTCCATTTGCAAGCAAGTGATGAAGGAACCACTCACTACTCCATGTGCTCATAACTTCTGCAAGTTGTGTTTGGTTGGGACATATGGTAGTCAATCGTCTATGAGGGAGAGAAGCCGGGGTGGGCGGACTCTAAGGGCACAGAAGATTGTGAAGAAGTGCCCTTCATGTCCAACTGATATTTGTGACTTCCTAGAGAATCCACAGGTACAACAAGTTTATGTTTGTTGAAGCATGCTATTACATGTAATTTTCTTGCTCATGCTTGGCTTTGTTTGCTTCTTTCAGATCAATCGAGAGATGATGGATTTGATTGAGTCCTTGCAAAGAAAGGCTGTTGAAGAAGGAGATACCAAGACAAGCTCAGATGTTAGCAATGGTGCTGAGTCATCTGGAGATGATGGAAACAACGAAGCTTTAGAGAAGGGAGAGGATGATAGCAGCTTGAAGGATGATGGCAGCTTGAAGGATGATGGCAAAGTGGTCAAGGCTGTGGTTGTAATCAAGGAAGAGGACCTGCAGCCTAAGAAGAGCAAAGGAGAAGATGAGAAAGAACAAGGTGACAAGAAGATGGACAGTGCTGATGTGGTGGACATTGCAGTTGAAAAGAAACAGGCGACGAAGCGGGCTTCTGAGAAGGCTGAGAAGAAGCAGGCAAGGAAGCGCAAGGGGGATGCTGTTGCCACAAATGATGGTAAAAGGATGAAAACAGGTGGTGATGCTATGGAGACAGCAGCGGAAGAGGATGCTCCCCTGAGCGGCGGAACTCCTGTGAAGCGCAACAGCAGGAAGAGTAGTGAGGTTGATGCCAAAGGCGGTGGCGGTAGTCCTGTTGTGAGCAGCCCTCGCAGGGTGACGAGGAGCAATGCCAAGGCTAGCGGTGAAGCTGATGGTAGCCCTGCGACAAGGACCAGGAGGGCTACCCGCGCTGAAGCCTGAATGAAGATGGATGAATGGCTGGTTGGCTGGCTGTAGAGGGGAAGAAGACGGAGACTGGAGCCATTTTGGGGTCGTATTCGTATATTCTATCTATTTAGTAATTTAGGCCGTTTGCCTTGTGCTGTTGCTCTAGCTCTTTTGATCCACAAGGGGTGAACTGGAACTGCCGCGGTGTGCTTTTGGGATGGCTTGGGTTGGGTTGTTAGTTGAAGGAATATATACTTATATACAGTGGTTGCTTTACCTTTACCTGTATGGATGTATGATGGATGTTCCTCATACAACTTTCCAATTCCAATTACTGGCATGGTTTGCCTTGGATTCTCATGCTACTCCTTTTCCTAGCACTATCATTGTTTGCCTTGTTTCTTGCTGCAATGTCTTGTAAACCATCTCATCTAATCTGCTGCTTAGAGCTCCTATATGTTAGCTCTTAAATTTGCCACATAAGATTAAGGGATGGGATGAGGTGAATGAGAGAAGTTAGGAGAGAATGAGCATTGGGTAATCTCCACAATTTTCAAAACAAGTGTAAGATGGTGTGAGAGTGAATTAATATTAGAGGTTGTGTATTATATGTGATATATTGCACTTGTTACCTTTTAATTAATGAGTAGATGATATATTTAAATTAGAGGTTGTATTCACCACTACTATAAAACTTGCCCTTAGACTTGTAAGTTTGCCTAGCTAGGTCTGCACAGCACTCTTTTTTGCAGGTTTTGAGATTGATGTGCAATGAACTCCAACAGCTCGTGTACTATTTCCCCATGCAGTTGTGTGATGTGCAAGGGGTGAAGAAGGGGCACAAGAGTCAGAGACACATGTACTAGTAGTACATGAAATGAATGAATCAAGGCGCAGTCAATCTGAGAAGAGAATGAATGTACTTTCGGTGGTCAATCTCAACCAAAGACTCGACTACTCAACTCATCAACTGTACAGCTTCCAGTTCTCATCTCTCAGAGAGTCAATCACATTCACACGCACACACTTGTTGCTCTACTGAAGTAGTAGTACCGTTACAATACCAACCAGTTCACAGCTCCATCCATACACAGGGCAAAACTGATGATCCCTCTCATAATTTTAGTGGAGGTGATGCCTTGCCTGGCAGAGCCTTTCATTCATCATTACACTCACAGGTCACAAACTTTGGCTCCCTGATAGTCAAATAAATACTTAGCAAAACTGGGAATTCCCTAGTTTATCATTACAGCTTCTTGTGCCCTCCAGTTAGTGATTAGGTTTGCTCCAAGGTCGTACGGCAAGTTGAGTTCGCGGTGCCGACAGAATTGCTTTCTTGGTCTGGGGAGCTTGATGGACTTGCATCTTTAGTGTCCAAGCTGATGAGCGACCTATTTCTCCCAGCCCTAGACCGGACATTGTTCCCCACAGGAAAAGGCTCCTGCAATAATAATATGTATCTTTATCAGAAAATAATAATATGTATAAAACCGCCATGTCAATCATTTTGTGCGAATAGGGTCAGTCAGAAGTGGTCACTCATATGGTATATTTAGTGTATACAATAAGCACTAGAGATATTCACACCTGATCTCCTGCATTTGGACCATCTTTGTGGAAAAGCATAGGTCGACACCATTTGTCTTCATTCATCAGGCTAGAATTCTGAAAATGAGCAATCAAAGCACTCCTTCCTTGAATCCGGGCGTATGCGAGCGACGCCACCTTTTCACTATTGAATTTCTCCCATTTCTTGCCATTAAATGTCTGCAGCAAATGTCAAGTCCAATTAATCCTATGCATACTTTCAATTAGAAAATGCCAGGGGAAAACTGGCAGTACTCTACAGGGCAGAAATACTTTTTAAAAAATCTTCCTCCCACAAAAAAGAATGCAACACAATAATAAAAATACTGTTATATCATATGCTATGCTTAGATCTTGGAAGGTACATTAAAAACGGAGAAGCTTAACTAGTAATGCATGCATGATATGTATACCTTATAGAATGGGATTATGTGCTGCGGATCAGTCATATTGATAAAAGCATACCCCACATTACATTTGTTCTGAGAAAAGTGAACATTGCAAAAGTCAGTCCTGAAATTGTACTCACAGTTGCAATCTTTTACACTAAGAAAAAAAAAGTAGACCTTAAAATCAATTGGGAGATAGATGAAATCGTAGGTTCCACGGTGGTTCTCATCAATGACAGCCAAAAGCAGCTTACAGTTGTACCTGTGGATCACATCAAGTATGACTTGAGTCAACAGAAGAAAAAAAAGATACCTGAGTAATGTGCAAGACAGCTGGCAACCGGTGGCAAGATGTGCAGAACCTACTTGTTTGGTATGTTCTTGATCATCAGGGTGGTGCGTGAATCTTCACCCTTTGCTATGCGATCAATGTCAAGCTCAAATTGCCGTTTGTTTTCAGACTGTGCAGGATTTCCATCATGTCTGCGACTCCTCATCCGATCATTAGTAGCATCGTATGAAGTGGAAACATGGATCATAGGATTCCGACCATTGATTGCATTGCACATTTGCTGAAGGGATTGAAATCCACCGCCAACTGGGGAGAACAAGGCCTCCCTAAAATTTCCTCTGCTGGATGCAAAGGCAGATAATTCTGATGGATATAACTGAGGGCTACCATGCAAACCTATGCTTCCGAGAGATCCTGGATGAAAAGAGTGCACATTTCCAAAACTGCCTCCATTGTCAGGAGCTGAACCCAAGTGATGCTGGTCCATGGGATAAGAACCTGTGTTCAGCATGTGAGGCGGCACACCAGGATAACTATGCACGTGCATTGGGTGCTGCAAGTTCGACCACAGTATTGGAGCTGAGGGACTTTGTGGAAAAACATTTGTGTGGTTCCAGGTGTAGTGATATCCATGAAGGGGGCAACTTCCAATTTCAGTAAAGCCAAATGCTGCAAAAAACAATTTCTGTGCTGATGAAATTCTAACAAAAAAAATCATTAAGCTGGTCAATTCATCAACTACATCATCCAATATTTCCAAAAAGGTTCACCATTATGTTGTTATGATAATAAAAACATAGGTTAGTAAAGCCAACAATGAGCAGTTGAAGCTGAGAACTGTTACCTTCATTATTTTGATCAAAAGAATGACCGCAAAAACCAGCAGGGCCCACTTTTTGGATATTGTGATCCACTCCGTCTTGTCTAGAGCTAGCATTCCTACCACTTACTGTCATGGACTTAGAGTTATTACAAATGCGGTTGTGATGCTCTGGCAATGAGCGTGGGTGGAGGGTTTGTATTCCACGTCCAAAGTTTCCTTGACCAAGAGGTCCACTAAGATCGCCAACAGAGGCTTGATTATTGTGCTGAAGTGTAGATTTAATTCTGATAGGTGAAGATAAAATTTGAGGACCAGTCGTAGAGATGCACTGGGTTGGGCTCTCCAATTGTTGGTTAACTGGAGAAAATAAATTATGAACAGTGCTGTTGTCCTGACATTTGGTGCCCAACTTTCCTGTTTTGGCATGAAAAAGGGCAAAATAAGTAATGATCAACAATTTCCAAAATATATCCAAGTAATATATTGTACCAATGGTCCCAGGTGAAGAGTTTTTAGGTTGGTGAGGCAAACTGTCTTGCTTCCATTCTCTAGAATGTTGCTGCCTCAAGCTGTTAAGTACATAAATAAAATCTTCACCACACTAATCAAATAACGCTTAAAAAAAAGTTACACGCCCAGTTGGTTTGTCCCTAATGAAAATTTAAAAGGTTCAAGTGATTGACATAGAGTTGATATTTGGCTGTTCCACAAAATGAAAGAACGACCAATAGGTGTGTTAGTGGCTGCAAAGCTATGAGAAAAACCGTGAATGAGAACTTGAGATACATTCCTTGCATCTAGGAGTATTTGCATAATTTTACCTAAGAAAACAGTGAACATATTTTATTATGATATTATCCCATCTCCCAAAGGTAACTAACATACTAAACCTATAGTATGAAGGAAGGCAACGATAGCTAGCACGAGTATGAAAAGATAATACCAAAAACGGGTAGAAAAAAATTCAGCCAAGCAAATTACCAAGATCCTGCCTCTCCATGTTGGCTAAGTTCAACCTTGAACTTTGGGCCTGAAATTCCACCCTTATTAAGGTCATGTAGTGCTTCTTCTGCTGCTCTAACATCATAGAACTCTACAAACTTCTTGGTGCAGCTTATAGGAGAGCTGGAAATCTATAAACAACAAATGATTACCATAGTGTGTGGATTTCAGTTTTGTAGTCAATTACTCAATTATGGCAGTATAGCTACCTCCTTTACATCACCATAAACACTGAGCATTTGGAGAAGATCATCATTGGAGATGGAAGAATCAATGTTAGATACCACCAACATTCCCTTATCAATATCCTTGCCTGGAACATTTTCCTAGCAAAGTACGCGACATGACAGCATCAGATATTAAGTGTTTATCTATTGAACTCATAAAGTGGCATGCAGACAGATTTAGAGCAAATATATAGCATGTTAGAAGTAGCGCAATTACCGGAACGACTGCGTGTCTCAGTACTATGTAACAACAGCATTTAATTTTCAAAACATAGAATATAAATGATTATTGCATGCTAAAAGGAACAAAAACCAATAAATAAACAAGGGGCACCAGTAAAAGTAATAGCATGATTTTGTAGCAAGTTAGAATGAAAAATGAAACAGAACAACATTGCCCAAGTAACAAATGGCATGATAAGGAAGATATATAGATTAGGTAGCATGCCTAATTCAAAACTACTGATATTATTATGCATACCTTAGGAAAAGAAAATTGCACATCAAGTTTCATCAGCCCCAGAGGCTTGCTATGCAGCGCTCTCATTGCATTTTGGGCTGCTCTTATGTCATAATAAGAAACAGTTACAAACCCATGGTGCTTGAAGGAGGTATAGAGCATGCGAATGTCCCCGTATTGCTGAAAGATATATATGTGTGTATATAGGTTCAAAAGGATATTGTTTACTAAACTAAAACCAAAATTTGAAATGAAATAAGGAAAAGGTTCAATACCTGAAACAGAACCGTCAGATCAGAATCCTCGATGTTAGCAGTAATATTTCTGACTACAAGAGTTCGGGAAGGTTGTTTATTGATGGAGTGTCCTGAAGAAATTTGGCTCTTGAAGGATCCATCCTGAACTTTGTCACCTTTTACGGAATCATTGTTTTCAAGTTCCATTCCTCCTCCAGTGCAGAATATATCTTCATCGGCATCATCCTGGTTGGTCGACATGCCAGTAAATTCAAATCCATCGGCAATACCTGATATTAAATCATCATCATCATCAGGAAGGAGATCTCCAATAGTTTGAGCTTCTATCGCTTCCATGGACTCTAGAGGTTCATCACTGTCGTAGATGGAGGTATGTGTCCCAGTAGATTGACAAAGAACACCACTTACTATTTCTCTCGCTGCAGAACATCATGAACTCTTAGAAAAGATTAATCTTCAATGAACAATATTGTGGTTTCTTTCAAAAACAGTACTTTTGGTTGTAGTGCAACTAAGATGATAAAATTCTACTATCAACATGGCTTGTAGGGGAAAAAAAGAAGGCAAAGGGAACTCACATTTGCCACTGAATACTTCAGAGAGGGAGCTGGATGAAAGTCCCTTCCCATAACCAGGCACATGTTGATCAGCAGTAGTTGGTTCAACAAAAGCTGTTTCTCTTGTAGACAAGCCAAGCCTCGATATGGGGTTTGTGAGGATCTCACCCCAAGAAAGTGACGGTGAACCTGAAGCATTTTCTTGCCGCATCAAATTGCTGAGGCTAAGGATGTCCAGGCCCTTGAAGGCTTGACCTCCTGGAGTTTCCGGATCTCCTGCATGATTTGCTCCATTGGGTTGGATCTTTTCAAGTGGAGAAGCAAAAACTGACTTGCTCCCTGCCATTAATGATCACAGTCAGTTCCTGAAGAACTATTTAACCTATCACCATATTACAACCTTCAATACATGTATCATATGATAAATTGATCATTTAATATCGAACTGTGCTAAATTAACTGTCCAACTAGTTCCTACCAAACTGTCTTGGGACAAAATTCCGTAAGCATTCTCCCACAAGTAAAGTTCCTACTCATTCCCTGCTGAACTGTTTCAGGGATATCTTTACCTACCAAAATTGGATACTTGATCACTTTTAGCCAACCAGTGCAGTATCTAGTCTAAACAGGAAATCCCTGGCAGTAAATAATCTGAACTAATAAAATGATACAACAGCCTAAAAATTCTGGTTTTATAGGTTATAGTTAGTTAGTTAAATTGGTGGCAAAGAACGGGCGGGAAGTGACCACAATAACAAGCAATCACCAATATCTCCCATAAACATGAAAGATGAGTTCCCGAACTGTTCTTTCAAGCATAAGTTGGGTAAGGCAAGTCAGGTATGATCTATTTAGGAGATTACTATTAACAAGAATACAGAAGAGAGCACCAATCTGAATAATTTCCATCATGTAAGAAGCAACAACCATGAGATAATAATTTTCAAATGAAGCATGATCCACACCTTTGTGATCCACCATTGACTCTGAATTCCAAAATCCAACTTGCCTCTGCAATGAAGCATGGAAGGGAAAATAATTGAGGTGCTACAGTCTTGCAGAATAAAAAGAAATCAGTGGCAGGCAGGATGGTTTTCTGGTTTGTTTATTACTAGTACCTCTGTAGGGACAAGGTCCTGAGAGAAGAATGAAGATGAGGAGTCGTCTGAAGTTGGGGTGAATGGCGACAGGTGCCTCCTGTCAATGGCTCCAGAAGCTATCACCATAGGTGCAATGGAAGAGCCCTTTTTTTTTTCCTGCCTTGGGTCACTTTGGGATTCCTGTTTTTGTGGTTTCTTCACCGCCTCAATCTCTCAAACTTTTGGCCCCTTTCATCAACTTCCTGCACAAGGACAGGAGAGATTAGCAACAGGACACCCAAAAGAAAGAGAGAAGATGTGTGCCCCTCAAGGGTTAGGGATTAGAGGAGAGCAACTACACATGTACAAAAAGATGGCCCATTCCAACAAGGAGAAAATATATTTCTCTTAAACCAGCAGAGGATAAACTGAATCGAGCCAAAAGAGAAGGAAAAAAAAAGGCAGGGTAAAAATGAGAAACCAGCTCCTTCTTTATTAATGAAAAAGAGGCAGCCCTCCTGCCCTCTTATTCGAAAAAAAAAAGAGAAACCAGCAGGTGGTGAGGCAAGAAGAGGTGGTGGTGATCTCATAATAAAACTTGTGTAAGAAAAAGATGTGACGATTAAGCTGAAGCCTCTAGAAATTTTGGCATGAGGGGAGGAAAGGACGACTCAGCTCACCTGAAGCAGCAGCAGCAAAGAAATGAAGAGGTTGCAGGAGGTGGAAAGGGAGAGAGAAGATTAATGGCAAAATGCAGTAGTAACAGGGAGGGAAAGGAAGCAGAGCAGAGGTGGTTGGGGTTGGGATTGGATTGGATTGGGGTTTGCTTATATGAAAGAAATGGTTGCTTGCTGAAAATGCAAGTTGCTTCTCGGTGAGCGTAAGGCAGCGATTCCAAAGAAAAGAAGCAAGGACATGGAGATGGAAATGGACATTAGCTTAGCTTAACTAGTTGGAGAAGAGAGAGAGAGGCGGGGAACCCTGGCCAGGGGCTTCATCTCCTTCTTCCCCCGCACTGCAAGCAAACAAGAGACGAGAACCGCCCCTGGCCCTCCAAAATAATATTAATAGAAAAAAACAAATCTTTTTTCGCGTTGCCTTGCCGCCGCACGCAAACAAACAATAACGCAAACAACAAGGCGAGCAGCAGGAGTACTAGCCTAGTTTGCCACTACTCTCCTCTTCTCTTCTTCCCTTGTTCGGGTCGGGCACGCGGGAGAGGAAAGAGGAAGAAGAAGAAGAAGAAGAAGAGACCAACCTCCATCCATGCCATCCGTAGAGCAATCAATAATAGAGCCATGCCATATCATAGAATAGGAAGAGGGGAGAGCAGAGCGACAGACACGAGGAGGAAGACCACATACCAACACAACGACACGAGAGTACTAGATGCTCTCTTGAGTACCACTGTCCGTAAGACAGACACACAATGACAACACACAACGTACACAAGAGCTAGAGGGAGGCGAGAGGAGAAAACAATTGTTGGACCTGGATTCCCCATACCGTATGCTCTTGTAGAATTTTTGGAAACTTCTTGTGCATCTAAAATAGAGTGATATATTAGCACATAATTAATTAAATAATTATTATATTAAAAAACTTGAAAATAGATTAATAGTTTTTAAAGAAGCTTTACTATATATATATATATATATATATATATATATATATATATATATATATATATATATATATATTAAGAAAACACATTATTAGTTGTTTGGAAAACGTTAGCGTGAAAAATGAGGAGTAGAAATTAGAAAAGTGTAGTGACGAATGCACCCGGCTAGCTCTACGTGGTCGTCTCAAAATGTCAGGAGTTTTAAGATTGAAAGAAAGTTAATGGAATTAAATGGGGAGTATTATGATTGGTTGAGAAGATGAGATGTATAAAGAGATAGTGAGATATGTCATAGTGAACCAACAAAATAATTATTAGGGTTGTGTATTAGAGGTAATGTATTATACATGTTGCCTCTTAATTATTAAGTAGATGACATGGTTAAGATTAGAGGTGGTAGTCACATCTACTATAAAACTTGCTCTAAGACAATTATTCCTTACCTTTACACACATTTTGATGTAGTGATGATTAAAAGTGAACTTATTAAATAAATAAAATAAGGTAAAGATAAATTTATTTTAGGGCGGAGGGAATTGAATAAGGAATTGGGAGAGCAAAGTGCAATGCAGGAGGCGTAACCTCTCCCGTTCACGCGAGACGGTTGTCATCACCTCCCGTGTCCTGCCTAATAGTGATATTAATATAAATTTGAAAATACTCTTTAAAAATCTATAGAAAAGTTATTTTAAAAAATCATATTAATCTATTTTCAATTTCAAAATAATTAATATTTAACACGCTAATTTATCACCTTGTTTAGTGTATCTTATCGATTTTCTCATTTCCTCTCTTTTCAAACGCTCTCTAAGTTGGCGTTATACACTTATCTTCATGGTATATAACTCCTACTTTATTAGTGGTAGTTGATATAATATGGTATTTCCTCGATCCCAAAATACAACTTCTGCATTTTTAATTTTGTTCAAAATATAACAACCTAATATTTGTATGAAGTGACATTTAACACTAAACTACCTATAGTACTTTTGGTATTATTTAAACCCTAACTATTTAGGTCTATATATAATCCATCCTGAGAAGATAATTTTATTTAACCCTCTCTTTAATGGAAACATATCCTACTCACATTGTTTTTTTTTAAAAAAACATATCCTATGTATACTAGCCTCCCATGTACACCAACTAGCAATTGTCACAGAAAATTCTACAAAAAATTGGACACATACTTCCAATAGTATTACACTTACATGTGAAATCTTATCTTTAAATTCATTATATTTTAGCCGTAATAAAAAAGACAAAATCCTGACAGATTTTTACCTGTAAAACTGTTAGATTTTTCACTTTTTTTGTTACGGCTAAAATATAATGAATTTGAATATGAGACTTTGCATATATGTGTAATACTATTAGTAGTAAATGCCTTTTTTATAGAATTTTTCGTGATATTTGCTAGTTAGTGTGTATGAAGTGTGTACGGGAGGTTTTTGTGCATAAAATATATGATCCCCTCTTTTATATCCGCGTCGAAAGTAAAATTTTGTTATATTTAACTCTTTAATATCCACATCGAAAGTTAAATTTTGTTATATTTTGAGATGGTGCAACGGCCGTGTCACATCCATTGAAGGTTAGATGGAGGAGTATAGGAGGCAGCAGCAGCATATTGATGGCGAACATATCTTTATCTTAAACATGTGGATATTGGCCATTGATTACTCCAAAAGAAATAATCTCTTCGAAAATCACGTGTCCACATCACGTGTATCTTATGCTTCCGCAAACAACTAAACCACTACTATTACCTTATAATAATAATAATAATAATAATAATAATAATAATAATAATAATAATAATAACTACTACTCCTTCCGTTTCAGTTTGTAAGATGTTTTGACTTTGGTAAAATCAGACTACTTCAAATTTGATTAAATTTATAGAACATAATAATAATATTTTCAACTCAACACAAATTTATTATGAAAATATGTTCGATTGTTGATTTAATAAAATTAATTTGGTATTATAAATATTACTATATTTATACATAAACTTAGTTAAATTTAAAGTAGTTTAAGTTTGACCAAAATCAAAACTTCTTATGATGATTGATACGATACAGTATCTTTCTCTCTGTGTTCTCGAGCTAGCTATAGCTGACTTGCATGATAGAGTAATGTTGATGTCATGTACTTACTGATTGATTCATGGTTGGCACGTACTAGATGCTATGGATTTTGTCTACTGTCTTGAGCGTGTATATGGATATATATATAGAGAGAGAGACCAGTAGTATCTTGAGATTTTGGATCCAAATTCTATCATTAAAGGAAAAATCCGAAAATGTAAGATAGTAATTGCTGCTGTAGCTAACTAGTAACATCCTGCGACGCGACGCGTGCATGTTTGTTCGTACTACAGTCTTCCAACAGAAGCTTTGTTGTTTTTCCTTCCTCCTAGGTAGTACTCCATCCGTTCCAATATGTATCAATCTAGAATGAGAAATAGATCTAATCCCATGCTAGATTGCTACATATTGAGATGGAGGGGATAGTATGGTAGAAGCAGCAACAATAATACATACAACACAACATGATCTGCGTATGGCACGTAACAATACATACATACATACATGTGACGGCTTAACGGCGTAGAAGTGGCTTCGGCTCACTATGTTAGAGCCACACCACCTCATGACACATGCAGTCTTCTTTCTCCTTTCACACGGTTTGTTGACGAGACAGTAAAAGAGAGAAAAAAAGAGGTCAAGGAGGCCTCCTCCATCGCTCGGGTCTGGCGGCTCCATTCCCGATCTCCTCCTCACCTCCTCTGCAGATTCGGTGGCATTGGTAGCGGATGTGCTGATGCGGTGTCCTCGACAACAGCGACTGCGTGTGGTACGTGAGGGACCAGGCATGGCGGGGGTGGGGTGAGCTTTCCAGGATCGATGCTTTGGATGCTATGCTGCTTTTCTAGTTTTTTCGAGGCAAGGAACTCGCGTCTTACCTGAGGGACGAGAGCCTATGCAAAGGTAATAGGGCCCACACCCTCCCTCCTCCACGGCATCACGCAAGTGGGGTGGAGGCATGAAGCAACTCGCCCCGCGTGGTCCACTGTGAAAGGCCATAAAATGTAGGTCACACATAGATTTGTCCTAAGACGACACCGGACTACCTAGGAAAGCCACAAAGTACATAGATTAGTACTCCTACCGTTATTACTAATTATTTTATTTTATCTATTTTCCATTAAGCATCCTCTCCACGTTGTTAATTTGAATATATTCGGCTGGGATTTTTTTTATTTACTATGACTTATAAACCTTGACACGGGACTAAAGCAATAATAACAATAAGACATGGCTTTTATTAATGGTGAAATTGGTGTTGGTAATTCCGGACCAACCGGCTACGTACCGTTCTGATTTCATTTAGGAGTACCTTTTCTTTTTTCCAATTGAACCATCTGACAATGGTTATCAACAAAAACAGGTGAAAATAGTAAAAAAAAAAGAAAGCAAATAGAAACACAAATGATTTTTCTGCCCCACCGACTGTTTGTTTGGTTTACCATATTTTCACAAAAATTGTTGTTTTTATAATACGGTAAATTACTTTATTTCTTTTTTTTGACTGGAATAATTTCATTCCATTATAACCTTGGTGGGGCAGAATCACCATCAACCAAAATTCTAAATACCTAGTACATGTCCATCTCCATTTGTCCATACATAGAGGCCGTTCGTATTTTACGAGAATTACTAATTAATTTTCCGACCGATACTGCATATGTTTCCATTTGAACAGTTATATTTTCTTTGTTTTCTGATATTTTTCATTCATTTGAATAGTTGAGATTGTTTTGTTCACATCAACCCACATGAATGTGAACATCTATCATCGTATTAATAATTACACGTCTTTCGGCAAACACATAAAGTCAAATTGATCTTATAAGGCTGTGATTGCAATCCCATTTTCCCGATCCCTCTCCCTCATTTTCCGCTCGCACGCTTTTCAAACTACTAAACAGTGAATTTTTTATAAAAAATTTCTATACAAAAGTTATTTAAAAAAAATCATATTGATCCATTTTTTTTAAAAAAATAGCAAATACTTAATTAATCACGTGCTAATGGATCACTCCGTTTTCCGTGCGGGGAGTTTAGTTCCCAACTTCCTATATCCGAACACAGCCTAAATGAAGAAAGAAATAAGCTCTCCATCGGCCTTTAATTTAATTACTTCCCATATCCGAACACAGCCTAAATGAAGAAAGAAATAAGCTCTCCATCGGCCTTTAATTTAATTAGAATTTCTTTCTCCATTGCGTGTCCGTCCACGCACGCAAGGGACCAGTTTAATCTCATTAGTTTCCCGAATACAAATATGTATATATACTTAGATTAGATTAGAGGGAAGGCGAACTAGCTACATGCAACGGATTGGGTAGCATATTATTTTGTGATCGATGCGTAGAGTAATTAATTAAATAAATTCCACTAACTTTATACATATAGTTAATTAGAGTAGCAGGCCAGCCGCCGTAGTTTTCCAGTGAAGTCAGGAATTATATCGATGGATCCTATACTGCGGCAACTAGGCTAATAAAGCTGAAACG